AGCTTAAGGAAGATTGTCAGATTTGTTGCGTCTGTGATTATACATTAGCGCATACAATAAGAAAACAGACAAGTAAAATAATGATACTTCATACGATATATATATATATGTCTCTCTCTACCCCTCCCCCTCTCTCTATCTCTATCTCTGATGGCTGACATCAACTAGCAATATTATTATTGTATCGTTTCTTTCAAAGACATCAAAAACATCCAGCCATTGAAACAGTCAATTCTCAGAGTAAACGACTGAATCTTTTCACGTCCCTTTCAACACAGTTTAGATTAGTTAGGAATTTCCTGGGATCTTCCTGTCTGTCTGGCCTAACTCGGGCTGCGTGGGACTCAATATCTCACTCTAATTAGCCAAGTCAGCTGGATCTATCGTCTGACCATTGGTCTGACGTCACACTGACACACACATACATACCCCCCCCCTCCTCCCCCATACCGGCTTGTTACGGCCAGGCTTCTAATTAGAGATTATACAAGGGTGGCATCAGGGACATGTCTTACTTGCAGCACTGTTAGTTACAGTTGGCCACTCAGCATAACACACTTGCTCGCTGGCTGGCTGTGGTATATTTTATAGACTCTGCGAATTTGAGGGAACGAAGCTTCATCGACGTTTCGAGCGTGAAGTCACTATTCGAGCTATTCGAATATCGAGAGCTCGTTGTATTTGGTATTGTTGTGTGAGAAATAGAGGGATGCTCTATCGACGCTTCGAAGCGTGAAGTCATTATTCGTGCCATTCGAAAATCGTGTGCGAATGTTTGTATTATAATGCTATACAATCCATCAGTAACATTTGCTTATATTTAATATTGACTATTCACAGCGCTGTTCGCTTATAACTCTGTCTTGTATTCATTTAGTACAAAGTATCGCTGTATTTACCTCAATGATTTTTAACATACATGTTATAATATTCTCTAAGTTTACGATTGTGGCAAAAAAAAGAGACGGCACATTTATTATTTTCACACATAAAACGCACACGGCATTCGAATGGTTGTACCGTACTTCTAATAGTTGTGAATTGCCTGAAAATCGTGATTGTTGAATAGTAGAGTCGAACGAATACAAACTCTTTAGTTTTAGTAACAGTTTTTCGCAATAAGGCCATATAAGTGCAGAAGATTAGAGGCGTTACGAGAGAGTAACAAGCATAAAAAGAAGGAGGAGAGATCAGGACGATAGATGTTTGGTAGGAAAGAAGGAGCAAACCACACCAGAGCACCCGCCAACCACCCACTAACACAAACTCTAGTCTTTGGATAAACATACTGAACGAAGGTCGCCGTCACATTCACACCCATACTGTAAATTATGGTCAAACTCAACCATTTCTCGTAAACTGGTTAGCTAATTATAACAGAATTAGAGAGAAGAAAAGCAAATTGACATGGTAAAAATCAGTGCATGTACTGGAAAGAGCAAGCTCGTTTGTAAGCTTCTAAAATAGCAGCGAATACGAAAGAGAGAGAGAGAGAGAGAGAGAGAGAGAGAGAGAGAGAGAGAGAGAGAGAGAGAGATGGAGAGAAGGGGCAGGGGGCACAAACCAGACATATAAGACAAAATAGTACAATACATGTGTATTTGTATTCTCAGAGTGTGTGAAGATGAACGTTAGTTTCTTATTTATTAACAATGAACTCGTCTTTTGATAAACATTTCATTAATGAAAAAGTAACCAGAAGGCTTGACTCCCCTTGTATTTATGTGTATGTGCCACAGAGCACGACAGATTTCAATTATCTTATTAAACTCCGAACGATGAAGTTATAAACGTGAAAGAGAAGTGATTGCTTTTTCATTTTGTATACTTGGGAAAGTGCTTTTCCTTCTTTTCTTTTTTTAGTTCAAGCACTCGCAGTTTGAGAATTTAGATATAAACGACTCGTATTGTAAGACACATTGTACAAAAGATGGTTGAACGAATGCTTTTGTAGTTAAATAAAGATTTTTACACTGGAGAATATTATGTCATGTTTGCTTTAATGTATGTGTCTTTCTTCCTTTCCATTAAAAAAATCTCCAACCATTGTTGTTACAAATTAAGTGCATGCAGTCTTGTATTTATAGATGATGGATGAAGCCAAAGTAATAAACATGATGAACACACACTTATTTCGTTCCCATATGATTTACGTGGCTTTCTTGCATGTTAAGTGCAATGTACACAAACATTGAGACTTTCAGTTTTGGGAATAAAAAAGAACCGTGTCCTCACTATTTGGAGTTACTTCATGTAATGATCAGTGCGCCTGGGCCATGTGATTCCTGAACCAACCAATCCACCCCACCCCCCTATCGGCCACACACACACATACAAAC